AGTCCAACACAATAAGCACTACTGACACCTGTGAAATTTAAACTATGAAACTTGCATAGTTGTGCATTTAAATTAAAAGTAGAAGCTTATAAGAATTCACTAATATTTACAGAAAACTCAGGAAATTGACATCATAATTATGTTCTGCTACCATTCAAAAATGATAGCTGCTTCTGTAAAGAACACATTTAAAACACTTCCATGCCACTACAGGAAGTAAAATGCCATATAGGCGATCTCTGTTCTCTCCTACTTACCTTATAGTTGCTCTGTTCTGTGGTGGACAGACACACTTGGTATACATCAAAGTACTAGTTTACGTTTATATGACAAATAGGAAAAAAATAATCATTTTACTGTAGAATTAAGGAAATTTGTCCAAGGCTTGGTTTTCCACTTGCGTAGTATAGTTCCATGACCAAGAGTAACCTTTTTCTTTTTTTAATGCATTTCCCATTTTAAACTGAGTCACAGATGACAGAGGTATTAGGCACATTGTGTGCAGTCTGTTTTCAGCTCTGGAGCCTATTTTTAGTGCCTTCCTTTCAGGGAAAATCTAAGGCCCGGTGACACTTGAGCTCCTGATTAAAGGTGGGTTGTTCACCACCATGTGATTCCCTAATCAGTATTTGCAAATATTCACCACTGCTAGCCAACTACATTTCATCCCACTTCTCCACATCCCGTGCACATAACATAACACTGATGAATGGTATGCTGCAGAATGCTGATCATTCAGATGCTGTCTCTTCAACATCAGGCTACTTTAGACTGCAACAGAAAATAAGACGCTTGAATCTCATTTTCAAGTTTCTGATGTGAAGCTTTTAGTTTTCTGTTGGTCCTTTGTAGAGAGCTTCACTCAGTAATCCTGCTCCTGTCTTGTTCGTGGATCCTGATGATCAGACATGACAGAGCAGCAATACACCTCCAACTAACCTTCTCAGACAGCGCTGTAAAATAAAAGGGATTTGAAATACATCCACTACACTGTCACAGCCTTATCCCTTCTTGCTTTTGTTCTTTTGATCTTCAGTGTGCCCCTGAAATCCCCACAGGCAGCGCTCCTGTGCCAGTGCCTTCATGAACTTCAGGTGGCAAAGAGCGGCAGAGAGCAAGGGCACTTCAGAGGGCCAGCACTGCCTGCCACAAACAGGCCCACCTCTCTCCCACGTCAAGCCTTTCATTACCCTCGTTTTATGCTTCTTTGGGAAACGAAATCCTGACTGTTACCTAAGCCCTTCTGGGAATCCCTTTTTAAGTCCAACTTAACTTAGCCACTCAAAACAGACATACATGGGAGCGTTTGATTTAACTGTTTCATATCAGAATTACAGAATCGCAGGGGTTGGAAGGGACCTCAAGAGATCATCAAGTCCAATCCCCCCTCTAAAGCAGGTACCCTATAATAGGTCGCACAGGTAGACGTCCAGATGGGTCTTGAATGTCTCCATAGAAGACAACTCCAGCACCTCTCTGGGCAGCCTGTTCCAGTGCTCCACCACCATTACCACAAAGAAGTTCTTCTGCATGTTAGCACGAACTTCCTATGTTCAAGTTTTAGGCCACTTACTCCTAGTCCTATCACTACACACCACCGAGAAGAGCCTGGCTTCACCAATTTGCCTCCCACCTCCCATTACATATTTATAAACATTTATCAAATCCCCTCTCAGCCTTCTTTTCCCCAGCCTGAACAGACCCAGGTTACTCAGCCTTCCCTCATAAGGACGATGCTCCAGGCCCTTCATCATCTTTCTAGCCCTCTGCTGGACTGCTTCCAAAAGATCCCTGTCTTTTTTGAACTGGGGAGCCCAGAGCTGGACACACTGCTCCAGCTGTAGCCTCCCCAGGGCAGAGTAGAGGGGAGGATCACTTCCCTCAAACCTTCTGGCCATGCTCATTTAGATGCACCCAGGATAACATTGGCCTTCTTGGCCACAAAGGCACACTGCTGGCTCATTGCCAACCTGTTGTCCACCAGGACTCCCAGGTCCTTCTCTGGAGTTACTTACCTGCACCTTGGAAGAGGGTTCAAAAGGGGGGTGTGAACATGATACATTGTGTAGAATAGATGAGAGGATAAGAGACATAATTTTGCAATTTTGGCAGAGGAAAGGAAGAGAAAGTCCAATACAAAAATAATTGGAAGAAGAAATTTTAACAGCTTTTCAAGTGTCATTGAGACCATTTCTATTATTTTATCATGGAGATTCATACATTTGTTACAGCCCTACCTTTTTAATAACTGACATCACAGAATACATCCCTAGATTCACCTATACCATGCTTACTAGCAATTATAAAAATAAAAATATTGCTGCTGGTAAACAACAAAATGTATAATAATTGATTCGCGAAAATACTGTATGAAGAATATAATCGCTTTTATTATAATATTTACTCCAAGAGTAGGCAACTAGAATAACTGTTGGCCATTTGGCCTTGGCAGCCAGGTCACCGCTGAAGATACTGAGCAATGCTGGCCCCAGCCCTGGCTTGTCCTCCCTTGCAAAGCAGTCTGGATGGCACTGCTCCCCAAACCCCACAGCTTTCCCACTCCACTGCCCAATACTGCAGTCCTCAAGTGTGGGCCTTACTATAATATGGCTATAAAGACACTATGAGAGACCACATCAAAGCCCTTCCCAAAGCAAAGGGAAGCAACTTCCACTGGCTTGCCAGTACTCACTGAGCCATTTATCTCAGCCCAGACAGTTACCACTTGGTCAGGTACGGTTTGGTAAATTTGCTATGGCTGTTCCCATTCACCGTCTTATCATCCATTTGCTTGGGAATGGCCTCAAAGAGGCCTTCCTATCTTCCTAGAGATCAGGGTCAGGCTCACCAGCTTGGGGATCCCCAAATCCACCTTTCTGACATCCTCAAAGTTGAGCGCGATGTTTGCCTTCCTCGTTAGAAGGAACCACCACTCCTAGGCATGTTTCGAAGATGACAGAAGGCATCTGTGCAGCAATGCTAGTCAACGTTACAGCTTTTGGATGCCTCACATCTGCTCTCATTATGTTTGCATGTCTTATTTTCTTCAGCAGCCCATAACTTTATCTTCCTCGTGGGTAATGCTTTCCTTCTGCATGCTCACTGGGCTGAGAGTTCCCACACCTTGCCATTAAAAAAAATGAGGCATCAAAGCAGTGGAGCATCTTTTTCATAGCCCACATCCCTAGATCCCCTGCCTGAATGATCTGTGGGGGGATCTTTAATCTTATGGCGCAAATATATTTTTGAGAAGTCACCATTCAAAAGGGAAAGGAACATCGCAAAGAAGTGGTTATTTTCTTAATCGTCTGTATCAGTGCTCACCATGGTGGATTTCAGCTGTTTGAAATGACTTTTGTAAAAGAGATTCTGAAAAGAAGCCTTGCCAGTCAGCCAGCAGTTTAATTCTTAGCAGTGGAAACACATGAGACAGTAAGTATTACCTTCTTTCGCCAGGCTCCTTTTAGCCCTTTACATTTTAACCACATTACAGCTTTCCATATAAAACATATTCCTACAGAACCCCATGGAGAGGTTTCTAATGTACTGTGAAGGACAACGTAACAAAAGTGACTGTTGTTTAAAGAAGAATCTCCCTAAACAACACAGCTACGTCAAAAGGTTAATCATCCTTACACTTCAATAATCTCGTTGAGGACAGAAAATAATTCCAAATGCCCAAATCACTGTTTTTTACACTGTCTGCATGAATATGAAATATTAGACACTACATCCAGTATTTCTGAACAAAGAAAAAGCTCTTTTCATCTGGAGACTGAGAATTAGAACTGGTGATAAACACGAGAAAAAAAATGATATAGCTAGTTTCTATCATTCCACATGAAGGAATAAGCTACCAAAAGGTTTCATTAAATATTTTCATTTTAACACAACTTAGAAATTAAGCTAATTTATCAGAGAGAGGTTCTGTCGCAGTGACATATTTTATTTTATAATTCCATCTAGACTAAAAATAAACTCAATACAATGTTGCACCCAGAAAAATCCACAAAGGGGATTTTAAAGATACTTGGTACTGTTTTAAAATATCACGTCCATACCTTTGAGGACTCAAAATGAGAAACGACTATGTAAAATGAGCAATGAAAAAAAATATCTTCGTGGAAACAGCTTCAAGCACAAGGATCCTAACTTCTGCACATGCAAGGATCAAAAAAAGGCTTAGACGGGACTGATATTTCAGCTCAGTGTAACAAAAGCAAAATCAGAAATCTCTGGTCTTCATTAATGCTAAGAAAAGTTATTTCCCTTTAAAACGACAGCTGAGCTTGGACAGCTTCAGTGCAGTACCTACCTTTAAGGATACCGTATCAAAGAGAAAGCAGAGCACACACATAAGCAGAACCTCTTCAGTACCAGTGCAAATGATACCATACTGAAGGAGCCTACATGTAACTTGAATTAACCAAAACTTTTCAAGTAAGCAACAAAATTAGAAATCAAGTCAAGCCCAACCCTTAGAAACTCAATTCACAAATGCCAGAAAACAACTCAAGTTCACTCAAAAAGAACAGAACATTAACAACAAACATGACACATCATGAGTAATAAAAATTTTGAAAGAAACACAGTTATTATGGTTATATGCCTTTGCCCCTTTTAATGCTATGAAAAATGCCATATCCTAACTACAGGCATTGTTAAGATAGTAGTTAATGAATTGTGAGGACAGTGCCTGTTCTCTAGTTATACAGTTGCATCAGGAAAGAAAGGCAAATGAGTATTTCCAACAGTGTTTATCCTCAAGAATTCTGATTGTGCTATTGTTATAGGAAGAACACTTTTTCACTTATTAAACATTACGATTATTTAAAGCCCAAAAGAGATCATTTTGTTAACTGCTAACATAAATATGTCTGACTATATCAACTTCAAACACTTCAGCGTGAGTTTTCCCAAAGGTGCAATTACTTTGCCTTCTTTCCTAGTAGCCTGGAATGTTTGTGTAATAAGCAATCTAACTGCACTTAACAACTTACCCTTACTTGACCAACAAAAGCATTGGCTTCCTCTTCCTGTACAGACAGGTTTTTTGGTAGAAACATATCAAAAACTGGCCCATTGTCATTTACATCCGTCACCACGATATTAACTGTAGCAGTTGAAGTCTGCAGAGAAAGATAAAATTATGAATGGAATGAACTACCATCTAATTTACAATTTCACATATGACGACTGATCAGCAATTTTATTGCTATGTAGTATAGAAGCACAGGTAAACAGCTGACCCATTTATTTCTGCATAGTTTTGTGAACAGATGTTATTCACTTGAAGAGCTTATATTTGGCTTAAAAGAAAAGAAAGGAAAAAAGCATATCAGATATGTTTTGCCTAATGTGATATTTTAAGAGTTGCAGGATCTTTAATTCAAAAACCCAAATTCAAGCAATTGGAGAGTGAAATAATTTGCACTGAGGTGAAGCACCTCAGTTTGAGCTTCATGAATTTAAACACCGTGGCACCAAAAAGCATGCCTTTGTTTTACATCCTGTGTATATAACTACAGAAGAGATGCAGCTAATAATACTTGTTTCTGTGGCCTGTGACACAGATCGCAAACAGAAGGAACGAGCAGTTGTTGTCACTCATCGGGGAAAAGAGAAGTGCTTACGGAAAGAAAACACAGTAAGATGGAAATATTACACCAGGAAATCAATACTACTGCAAGAACAGAGAAACAATGGCATAGACAGTGCAGGGATGCTCTATCCCCAAAATCAAGACACATCAGCACTTGCCTTGCCCAGCAGAAGCCATGCTGCTGTGATGGAGCACTGGATGGACATGTCACAGCTGATGCTACTACTTCATCAGAATCTAAATATAATACAATGTAGAAAAAAAACTTACTCCTGAATGTTTTGGAAGTTTTTTGTACTTCTACTTTTAATCCAAAAATTCTGCTTCTTTTTCAAATCCTCATGTTTTGACTCGTTCCAACCTGAACCTCAGGTTTTCAGAACAAGAGGGACAGAACGACTGTTTCATCCTCATCGGCCTTAATTTTGCTATGATACACAGAAGGCATGACAAGAATGCTTACTGTTCATTTTGGATTGCCACTGACAGTACAAAGCAGATTTCCTTTTCCTAATCCAATCATCAGAGCTGGATGTAGAATGACCTTACAATGAAATGTAAGCATTTTTTAAATATGATATTGTTTCAGGTAGCTGCTGTCCCCAGAGGAGGCAAAACCTATTCCTAAACCCAAATTACTAAGTCTGATGCTGCCATTTTAACACTCTTTAAAGGCACCCTGATAGCTCTAAAGCTCATCGACATCTCTGGATTTTATCTGAAACATCTGCTGCTGTACCTCCTTCATGCTGAGCTACGGCTTTAAAGGTCCATAATAAAAACAGAATTTCACCTCATTTTTATTACAGGGCATGCTCCTTGGTTTGCCACAGAGCAGAAGTACACTGGCACTTGCAAAGGACAACTAATGTACTCAAAACCTACTTACTGTCTTAATAGTATGTGGTCATGCTTTCATTGCTGTGTCACCAGTTCAATCTGATAACTTACTCTCTGCAGGAGTGATCCAGGAACAGGTCAATCTCCTTCACCTTCCAAAATCCTCAGCATTGGCAAGCAGCCCAGTCACAGGAATTGGAGTCAGCTGTCTTGTTCACACAGCTACAAATCTGCCTGTTGTGTTTGCAGGGTGTCCTGTGTGCTACACTGCAGTGCTACCTGTGCCAGCAGGCTGTGTTAGCAGACCTAAATACCAGCACAGCAAAGCACAAACCCAACACAAACTTAAATGCACAATGCAGCTCTTTCAGAAAAAGAGCTGTTCTCTAATGCCTTGTGCAATGGCAAACACAGAAAACAGAACTGTTCCACAATAGGCAACCACTAGTAAATATTTAGTGCATTAAAAGTAACTAAGTGAGGATATTCTGAAATGAACAAACCAAAAAAGATGCTCTCAGGCTAGCTTCTTATATTGGCTTACGTTCAGTTGTTTGCTAATTGTTTCTGAAACTGCCATTCCCACGTTCAAGGTATATAAGGAAAATGCACTTTGCAATTCATGCATCACTGTCAACACAAAACACACTCCAGAATGTTTGCTCTGATGATACACAATATGCAGTGAAGGTAAATTAATCTTCCTAAGCTTACTCAATTCCGCAGAATAGAGAGTAATAAAAACTCTTATATTTAATAAACTGAGACAAATATGGCATGGAAAATATTGGCTTAAGAAAGTACTTCTCATTTTGAAAAAATATTTCTTTTCCATCGCAGAGAATTTTAACAGCCTGTGTCTGATAATCTGTGCTATGTTCACTTCTGACAACACTGAATCAACCCACAGCAGCTCTGAGAACAGCTGCCAGAAGACACATTTGCATTTGATAGCTTCTGAAGGAAGTGCTGAAAGCAAAATTACTGTTGTGATTTACTTACAGGTCTCATTTTTGTACTTGGGTGCGTGCTGTGGGGGTGCTCACATACTTATTTCAGATCAACACGCCAACTTGTTATGAGGAACCATAATAAGCCCTTTCCCTAAAGGACCAAAATCCAAGCAACTCTCTACTCTGGAACCATGCTATTAATAGCACACCCCTGCGGTATTACTTTGCCTTGAGGAAAAAAAGGGCGCTTTTATTCAAGTAATCTTGAAATCCAATCATAATAATATTGGAAATAGACAGCTTATTGAAATGCAGCCTAAGTCTAGAAGGGGTCATTTGAATAAGCACCAAAATAGACTCAGATTTCACATAGCACAAGAAGATGGAGACAGCAGGGAAGGTTAAGCTCTAATTCATACAACTTGGATTTTAAGCTGGATTTTAAGATCCTCTTTAATATCTTCGTCAGTGACCTGGAGGAGCACACAGTCTCAAGAGATGAAAGCACAACCAGCTTCAAGTTATCAGGTGACACCAAAGACAAAGCTCTTGCTTGTCTTTGCAACGCAGACATACTGGGAATCCGGTCAGAGCACTCCCTGGTTAAGAACAGGAAGAATCACACTTTTTATGCCTTTGTATCCTTAGATAGACTTTACCTGACAAACACAGAAAATGAAGCTACCAGCATGACTTCACCATACGGATGGTGAAAGCTTGGTTCCTTGAGTTATTCAGCAGGTTATTCTGTGATGTAGAATATGACATACTGAAGAAGAGGGATTCCAGGTCAATCTTAACCCCCCAGGACAGAAAGAATTGAAAAGAAGAAAGTTTAACTCAGCTCTAGAAGAAAAAAAAAGAAAGTCTGCAGCATTTCACAAGAAAGAAGAGAAGGAGATAGGAAGAGAGAGATTTGAAATTGTTTCCAACTCTTTTGTTATCCATAGGCTTGGTATTTTTCAAACTGATTGCTTTTTTTAAGCACCCTTCCTTACCTGCTTGCCAGCACTGCCATTGAGCATAGCTCCACTTACTGAGTCTCAAAGCTATACATAAACTAAAAAAAAACAGTATCACTGCAAAGGAATATTATTTTATTGAGATGCAAATTAGGAAAATTATTTTAAAATATTAAATTTTTATGTTCACCCTAAGCATTTAGTTCCCGGGAACTAAAATGAGATCTTGTAATAATACCATTTCACATATATCCTATTTTTTGTATTGGTCACAATTTAGTGAACTATCAGTGCAGTGGCAGGATCACCAAGAGAAGCATTCACACTGAGATGCTGTAGTAGCAGCAATGCTCCTGTGTACACTGGTAACAACAAAACTGAAAATGAGGAAAAAAACGGGGAGAACACTCCAGAAGTTTTCTATTTTGTCTGAACCTGGGAAACGTACCTCATCCCACTGATAAAATAATGCCAACCTTTTAGGTGAAGCAACCGTCAGTTAATTATCTGTATTTCTTTGAGATTCACAGAGAAGCAGTTCTGCCATTAACATCAGAAACTACAATAACCAGAGAATATGTATTCTTTTAAATCAACATTTTTATATCCCCATTAGATGGCTCCAAAGTTTTGCTCAAGTTCTCTGCAAGCTGACATGCTGAAATAGCCTTTATTAAACAACTTGAATAAATTAGTGTCTTATTCAAAACTGCAGCATGGAGCAATATTGGTAACATCACAATCATCTGTCCAATGTAAAAAGTCACCAGCAACACAGAAATCACACCGACTAAATAACTACTGCTTTACAGTTATGTTTAGGGCTAGCTTGTAGCTCTTTGTTGCTGGAGGAGAAAATAACAAAGCAGGTACACTCTGGGTCATACCCTTTGCAACAGCAGTCAAGGTAAATTCCTTGCACGTCAGCCAGTGCAGGAGGGTGCCAGGGCACTGAATGCATGCTTTAGGGATAAGAAGTGTGCCACAGAGAGGATAAAAGAAAGCAGACTGAGGAAAGGTCATTCACTGTATTTTGTATGGAGCTCGGTTTCCTGTACTGATAGGGAAGCCTGCAATTTCTTGCCACTATTCTCAGCTGCAAGTGGCTGTGTCTGCCTGACATCCCTCCCAGAGCCATGCAAACTGTGCTTCATTCCCCACATCCACAGTACATTCTTGCTAAGGGCAGCCTAAGCAGACAGAAATGAGGATGCTTCTCTCAAGTCATCACATTACAATTTTTAAGTTGGTAATTAAGAGCCTTTAATTCTGCAAAGCCAGCTTTCTTGTCTCATTAGTGGGGGGAAAAAGATAGCTATACCACACATCTCGGAACCTCAGGATGCAAGAGAAAAAATGTCTCTTCATTTACCACTTCTAGTACTTCAGAAGTGCTGCAATGTATCCAAAACCTACATCTTAGTTCCCATGGCCTGCATATGACAGACTAAACTTAAGGCAACACTTAGAATCACCAGCGGTGTGGAGCAGGATTTCTCCAGCAAAGCTTGTGAAATATTAACAGAAAACGTGAAGAAAATATGCTTGAAAAAAAATCAGCTGCAGCTAGAATCTTTTAACTCTCCCCTCTTTATTCTCCCTTGTGCTATACTGTTGACAAGTAGTACCCCGAATTTCTTACAGAAAAGTTGCTGTGTTTTCCAGAGGATCCTAGAAGGGACAGTAGAACAGAAGCCTCTTGAGAAAGAAGAGTTGGCTCTCTAAACATCACAGCATATGTTTAATTGCCGTTGAAAGTCTTTGCACAAACG